AGCAGGCAATTCACTGGAAAATCGACAGCTCTTCCAGAAGGTGGTACAGCTTAGTGGGAAAGGGCAAGGGCAAGCAGCTTCAAATAAACCTGAGAGTGTCCCTTACCCTTTCTCAGCCTCAGCTCTCCTTTCTAGAAAATGCGACACTAGCAGGATTTCCCCCGTAGTTTGTGGACCAAATTAAATGGAGTCAGATGTACGAAGTGGTCTGCACAGGGCTTGGCTGATGACGTGTGCTGAACTGATTTAAGACGTGCCCATTACTGTTGTTAAAGGTAATTCATAATAGGTTTAAACTGTGAAATAAAAACAAAAAGCTGAGATTCTGTGATACGTATCCACACCCCTTTTAACCGAGGTGACAAAGCTATTTAGATCAGGGCATTCTTTTCAGGAAGGATTAAATGATTGTTCAGCATAGTATGGATGATACAAAAAAAAAAAAAAAAAAAAATTCAGAAATAAGCAGGGAGAAGTTGGCAAATCATCAGTCTTGACCTGCTGACAGTCACAGCCTAAAGAAGAAACAAGGCGTGCTGCTTTCTACCAGAATTACGAATAAGCAGCACATTTCTCGTGACCATGGCCACGCTCAGGCAAGCTTAGGAAGTGACTTGTTCTCTCGTCCCAGCTTTCTGAATTCTCAGTGGTTGGCGGCACTGTTTGTGGCCTGGGCTCTGCTGTGCACAGGAGCTGTTTGCTTGCACTCGGGAGGGTCAGGATGGCAGCGGGACCCTTCTGGGAAGGGTGTGGCTCCAAATGCCTAGGAGGGGGTGAGCCACTGGGTCCAGGAATCCTGGGAATGGTTTCCTTCCATCCCCCAATACCGATGGGCTGCCCCTGCCATACCTCCACCCTCACCCCCAAGCCAGTAGTTTCTAAATCATTGGTGTGTCCCATACCCAGTTCCTGGGATTATGGTAAGGAGGCCTGAGGAGGGTCCTAGGCTCTATCGTTAAGCCACATTGAGGGTCTGGGGCTTTGAGAGAGCCTGGGCTAGTTCTGTCCTGCACGACAGTATCTGCTGCCCCACTTGCCGCTCCTTGCTGTTCCCTGCATCCCTACCAAGAGCACAGTTTCGTCTGCTCTGTGTCTTTCATAAACTTCTCAAAGGTGACAGCTAGGTCTTAAACTTTTTGGCATTCTGCTAGGTGTTAGGCAAATGGCATGAATTCGGTGAAAACTTTTTGAATATCATATTCTGATACAATGTTTCAAAAAGTCAGTATCTTTCAAGTGATCTTGAAAAATCTACAGTCTACCTCGTACATCAGAAGAGGAGGCGTGAATGCTTTTGGGCACACAGTCCCTGGTGAAATGTCTTCTGTTTTTAGCGGGTTCCCTCGTTGGGCACGAGCAGTTGCGGAGATACGAACTCAAAGCCTTGTGGGTACCGGAGCCAAAGGCACGGCTCTTTGAAATCAATGAGCCCCACACAGAGGCTGGCGGGCTGTCGATTTCAAATCAAGATCGGGGGACTGAGGGCAGCTTAGCAAGACTGATGGGCAGAGACGGCAAAACTGGGAGTGTCCAGTAACCAGTGGCTGCCCCACATTGTTTTCTAACTTTAAAACTGCTTCCATGACGAGATCCTACGGTGACCTGGTGTGGAGGGTTGAAAGGTGGCCCCAAGTAGATACGCTCATGTTCTAACCCCACGAACCTGTGGATGTGGTGAATGTGACATTTGGCAAAAAGCAGTCTCTGCAGATGTAATTAAGTTAGTGATCTCGAGATGAAGCCATCATCCTAGATTATCCTAGATTCACGACAAGTGTCCCTATGAGACACAAAAGAGAGAAGGGGAGAAGGCCCTGTGGAGATAGAGGCGGAGTCTGGAGGGGTGCAGCCACCAGCCAGGGAACCCCTGGAGCCACCGGAAGCTGGAGGAGCATGGGAGCCTCTCCCCCAGGGCCTTCAGAGGGGGCGTGGCTGTGTGGGCCTCTTGATTTTGGATTTCTGGCCTCCAGAACTGTGAGAGGATAAACTTCCGGTGTTTTATACTACTTTGTCCCTCCGGCACCAGGAAGCTAAGACACTGGGTCTTCACGTTTATATAATGAATTCTTTCTGTACTTTGTACTCGTGTTACTCACATCTTCACCAAAAAGTGACAAACGTGCAGGGAACTTTCCTGCTGGATTCAAAGATGTCCTCCTGGTAAAAGGATAGTGAAGATACGTGAGGGAGATTTAGAACTGCACACTAGGGTAAAATGACGCCGTTTCCAGATGCCATTGCCCTGGGTTACCGGGTTACTGGTTGGTCTGAGAGCTCTGCCCTTTGTGCCCCAACAAGCGGCAGGGTTAAGCTGGGAGTCCCAGACGTTCTGTGCCTTGGTTTTTGTTGCTGTTTAAAAACCTTCACCATCCTCAACCTAAGATCGCATAAGCATTTACTTCACCTGGGAGAGGGGCTGTAAATCGCTCTGCATTCACACTTGGTTTCGGTTCACCAAGTTCTGTGACTGTCCTTGCTGACCATCACATGCCTGCGTGGTTGTGTCTGTGGGAAAGTCCCAACACTGCAGGGCTGGGTTCCCGGCCGTGGCTTCCACCTCTGAAGATGCCCCACCCACTTGCCTGTTCCATTCTCAATTTCTGCCTATGTAGCAAAAGAGTCTTGCATTCGTTCATTCAATATTTTATTTATTTTTGAGAGAGAGAGAGAGAGAGAGACACACACACACACACAGGGCGAGTGCGTGAGCAGGGGAGGGGCAGAAAGAGGAGACACAGAATCCAAAGTAGGTTCATGGGGCGCCTGGGTGGCACAGTCGGTTAAGCGTCTGACTTCAGCCAGGTCACGATCTCGCGGTCTGTGAGTTCGAGCCCCGCGTCAGGCTCTGGGCTGATGGCTCAGAGCCTGGAGCCTGTTTCTGATTCTGTGTCTCCCTCTCTCTCTGCCCCTCCTCCGTTCATGCTCTGTCTCTCTCTGTCCCAAAAATAAATAAACGTTGCAAAAAAAAAAAAAAAATTAAAAAAAAAAACAAAAAAAAAAAACAAAAAACAAAGTAGGTTCCAAGCTCCGAGCTGTCAGCACAGAGCCCGATGTGGGGCTCGAATCCAGGAACCATGAGATCATGACCTGAGCCAAAGTCAGACCCTTAACCGACTGAGCCACCCAGGTGCTCCAGGAGAGCCTTGCTTTCAAAAACGCACATCTTATCAAATGGAGCCCAGTCCCTCCCTGCCAAAGTCAGTGCTCTTCCAAAGGGAAACAAAGCCTAGTTAGGGCTTCAGACTTCCATCAACAACTTGGAACCCAACTGCCTCATTTCCAACGTTTCTGGAGCACCTCCCCACTTGACTGAAAGTAAACAGAGCCTCCACAGTCAGATTCCTTTGATCCTTGAGACATTCAAAGGGCTGTGATGGGCTATAGGCCTTGACCATGACCAGAGCCAAGGTGGTGGGTGGTGGTGGTACGGGGGGGGGGGGGGAAGGGTGGAACCCCGGCCGAGCCTCCTCGGGTCATCTCCCTTCACTCCTGCCCCCTATAGTCCATTTTCCATCATGCAACCAGAATGAAAATACAAGTTCATACATTAAAACAAGTCAAACCGAGTCACTCCCCTGCTCCAGTACTCTCCCAGCTCAGACTGGGAGAAAATCCAAAACCCTTGCCTATAAAGCTCCCACAGATGGGCTTCTGGCTGTCCTCTAACGTCAAGTTCCACCAGCAGATTCTGTACCCCAGCCTGGGGCCCCGGAAATTCCTTGACAGGTGAGGAAAACTGGGGCAGGTGTCCAGGGAGAACAGTACCCAGGGTGAGATGAGGAGGGCCAGGATGGGGGCAGTGATGGGAAGGTACTTTCTGCTTCTGTCTACTCCTACAAGGTCATGCCACCTGCACCCACATTCTTTTCCTTCTCAAGTCACTGTCCCTGACTTGTTTGTTGAGCAAGTTGTTCAAGGATTGTTGAAAGACTGGCTCCTGGCCTTCTGCTCCAGCAATTACTTGACTAATGCGAGATGTCACAGTCCACGGGACTGACCCAGTCAAACAGCAGCTTCAAAATTCCAGGAGCTCCTTTTAATGCCAATGGCCTTCACTCCTGTGTGCTCTGCTGTCTGTCCCAGGAGAGCGGACAGGCCCCCATCTCTTGTTCCTCCCTTCAGAAACCTCACACTCCAACATTCCACCTGTTCATTGATGTGCTTTCTGATCAAGGTTTCGTGAGACACCTGCGGGCGGGCCCCCGACACTGCCATCCTCTCCTGGCCAATCGGCAGCTCCCTCCTCACGCCCTCCCCTGTTTAGCTGGCGGGTGGTAACCAGGGGCTCCTAGAGCTGGATGGGCATCAGAGTCAGCGGGGAGCTCTCTGAGCTCAGATGACGGCCCCATCTCAGATGTGTGACTCCACAGGCCTCTTGGATGCCTGGACTGGCCACCCAATCCATCCTGAAACACTCCTCCGTTCCGATTCCCATGGCGCTACATTATCCTGGTTCTCCTCAAGCCTCTCTGGTCACTTTCTGTCCTTCTCAGAGGCTCCACTTCTTGCTCCCACTCCTGACATGCTGGTCTGCCCCTCTGTCCTCAGCCCCTCACTCTCTCTCTCTCTCTTTCCACCCTTTGCTTCGTTAGGCATCTCTTCGCCTGCTCTGACGGTTTCAGCCATCACCGGTGTGCCGATGACTTGCAAACCCGCCAGTCTTCCCTTCTACTAGATAAGGCACACGAAAATTAAGAAGCTGGACAGGTGGGTGATTACTACTGAGGCGGGCACACCTTTGGATGTTAGGAAGGCTCCTGACATGTGCCCTCGTGTTATATCCTGATCTCTTTTCTGTTCACCGACAGCTCTATCTGTGACAGGTAGCTAGGGCCACAGTGCTCTTCAGGACCGCTGGAAGCAGACTGGCTAACACTCTCATAAACATAGTATCGTAGTATCGACCAAACCACACGGTCATGTGTCATTGCAAAGGCTAAATGCATCAATGGCCCATCTCTCCTTTCTACTTCTCCCCCACCCCCTCATGTGGTACTTACTCCCAAGTACTCCGTGGTCAGAAGCTTCTCGCCTGAGAGCTCTCCAAGCTGGGGCTGGATCAGCTCATCTTTGTCCAGATCGGCTTCCATAGTGTCATGGTCCTCCTGTTTCAAAGGACACACGGGGGTCAGTGCTCTGGATCCCCCTGCTGCACATTCCCAGACAGCTGGGTCCCCAAGTGGGCACCTGCCAACGGAACGAGAAGGCGTCTGCCCAACCACAGCAACTGGTGGGTTTGCATTTCAAACGGCTTCAGGGGCAGTCTGTCCTCTGCTCATAACCTGAACCATGAAGCCAAAAGGGAAAATACCAGCCCACCTCTTTCGGAAGCTGGGCACCTATGGACACCTCCACGGCCACAGGTGTGAAGAGGTTCAATGAGACACTTAACAGTCTCCCTCAGTCACAGCTCTCAGAATTTCTCTGGGAGGTCAAGGGACCATATGAATAGCCAGGCCAGTCCACCAAGAACTATGAAGCACCTTCACAGGCACAGGCCTTCAGCAACTGTAGGTTATAGGCTTGTTGTTCTCAAGCAGTTTACAGTCAATAAGTAAGAAGACTCATCAAAAAGAGAAGAGCTGTTTTGCTTTTGGGAAGATGGAGTGGATATACTTTTCCCTATTCCTCCCACCAAATACGGCCTCAAAACACTGGATGTTAAACATAAAATAAACACAAGAGACCCCGAAAGACAGAGAGAAGGAGGCAGACTGGCTGGGTCCCCAAAGACACAAGGAGCGAAAGGTGCTGAGTTCCCTGGGGTTCCTTGGTTCCTTACAGATTCCACACTCGGGAGCTGAAGAAGCCAGCAGCCCAGCAACGTTTGAGTGGCGAAGACAAAAAAGTCTCCCCAGAGCCTGCTCCTCTGGCTGAAGGACCGGGAAAGGGAGGGCCTAGCAATGACAGAAGTTTTAGAAAATAACCAAACACCACAGAAAATATTGTGGCCCCGTCCCAACCACACCTGCCAGGGCCTTCGGGAGTCCAGGCTTCTGCCCTCACTGGGCTGTCATCAGGCACCCCCACATCCTCAGCTGGGGTGACACGAGTAGGGAGGGGGAATTTCATCCCTCCTGGGCAGTAATGAGGTTCCCCCATCCCCAGGAGAGAGTGGAGACCACGTGGAGAGCCCAGCCTTCCAGCCGACAGTGACGAGCTACCCCCTCTCCATGCTCTGATGCCGTCGGAGGAGGCCTGGTGGAGATTCATGCTTTTACCACTGCCCACATGTTTCTGTGGTGCCAGGGGAGGCTCTGTGGGCAGCACTAATGAGGCACTCCTTCCTGTTCTAGTTAGAGAGATACTAGTCGAGGCTGCGTAGGGATCCGGAACTCCCACCCCTGTCTTGCAGTAACAAGGAGTCTCCTCCCATCCCCTACCACCCCTGGGTGTCAACAGAGGCTGAGTGTAAATCCTGGTCTTCTATTCACACCTGGCGGCAATGAGGAGGAGACTCACCGCCCCCCCCCCCCCCCCCGCCAGAGCAGTATCAGAAGGAGCCAGCTAAAACAGAAGGTTTCAATTAGATCAAAAGTCTTATAATCCTCCAAATATCTGGGCTTAAATAAAAAATCACTCATCATACCGGGAACCAGGAAGCTCTCTCAAACTGAACAAAAAGAGACGATCAATAGATGCCAACATCAAGGTAACGGAGATGCTACTAGAATGATCTGACATAGATTTTAAAGCAGTTATCACAAAAATGCTTCAGTGAGCAATTACATTCTTGAGACAAATGAAAAATTAGGAAGTCTCAAGAACATAGAAAAAGAATAAAATAAACCCAAAGCAAGCACGAGCAAGAAAATAACATAAAGAACAGATATCAATGAAAAGGAAGAGAGAATAACAAGGGAGAAAATGAGTCAAAGAAAAAAGCTGGTTCTTGGAAAAGATTAATAAAATTATCCTGACCAATGTCAGGAATGAAACAGAAGATATTACTACAGATCCGGGAGATATCAAAAGGAAGAGGGATCACTATGAGTAATTCTGCACACATGGGGTTGACAACACAGATAAAAACACAAACTATCACAAGCCTCTCAATATGAAATTTTGATATAATTTTAAGATAACTTGAAAAGTCCTATTACTACTAAGGAAATTCCTTCATAGTTTAAAAATTCCCCTGAAAGAAATCTCTAGGCCTACATGGTCTCACTGGAGAATTCTATCAAACTTTTAAAAAAATACCACCAATTCTATATGTTTTCAAGAAAACAAAACAGGAAGGAATACTTCTTATTTCATTTCATGAAGGTTTTGTGTTACCAAAGCCAGAGAAAGCCAGTACCATAAAAAGAAAAATATAAACCAAAGTCCTTCATGAATAAAAATGCAAAAATCCTTAACAACCAAGCTAAGAGAAAGGTAAAAAAAATCCTCAGCAAAATCTTAACAAACAGAATGGAGCAACAGATCAATTATGTTAAAAGAATTATACGCCATGACCAAGTGCAATTTGTTCCAGCAGTGCGAGTCCGGTTCAATATTTAAAATTTAAACATTGTAATCCATAATATTGAGGGGTTTGTGAAGAAAAAAAATCATATGATCATAGTAATGGATGGAAAAAACACATGAAAAAACTCAACATGACAAAAATTCTCAGAAAAATAGGAAAAGAGGAGTACTCGATAAATAATGTATAGCTGACATTACACTTAATGATCAAAGACTGGAGGCTTTCCCCCTTAAGACTGGGGACAAGGCAAGGATTCCTGCTTCTATTCATTCTTATTCATTCTTAGTGCTAGAAGTTCTAGCCAGAGCAATAAGGCAAGAAAAAAAAAAAAAAAGGAAATAAAAAGCATATAGATCAGAGAGGAAGAAACAGAACTGCCTCTATTTGCCCCTCCCCTGCTCACTCACTCTCTCTCAAAATAAATAAATGAACATTAAAAAAAAAACAACAAAACTGTCTCTACTTGGAGATGCCATGATTGTCTATGTAGAAAATCCCAAGGAATCAACCCCTCAAAAATCCTAGAACTAATAAGTGAGTTCAGCAAGGTCACAGGATACAAGATAAATATATGAAAATCAATTTCTATATACTAGTGATGAACTTAAAACACTGAAATTAAAGATACAGTATCATTTATAATTCACACAAAATAAAAATTCTTAGGTGTAAATCCAGCAAAACATGTATAGGACTTGTAGGCTGAGAATTATAAAGTGCTAATGAAAGAAACTGAAGATCTAAATAAATGGAAAGACCTACCTTGTTCACGAACTGAAAGACTCAACATAGTTGTTAGTTCTGCCCAAATTGGTACATAAATTTAATGTAATTTCTATCAAAATCCCAGAAGGATTTTTCTGCAGATATATACAAAATTATTCTAAAATTTATATGGAAAGGGCAAAGGGACTAGAACAGCTAAGACAATTTTGAAAAATAAGAATAAGGTGGGAAGAATCAGTATACCCAGTGTCAAGACTTCTATAGGTACAGGTTTCAAGACTATGCGGTAGAGGGACAGACATAGAGATCAACAGACCAGAATAGAGAACCTTAAAACAGATGTACACAAACATGTACAACTGATTTTTTGAAAATATTTATTTATTTTTGAGAGAGAGAGCGCGAACAGGAGAGGGGCAGGGAGAGAGGGAGACAGAGAATCTCAAGCAGGCTCCGCAGAGCCGGACGCAGGGCTCAAACTCACGAACCATGAGATCACAGCCTGAGCCAAAATCAAGAGTCAGGAGCTTAACTGACTGAGCCACCCGGGCACCCCTGCCCAACTGATTTTTGACAAAGGTGTAAAAGCAGTTCAATGGAGGAAGGACTGCCTTTCCAATAAATAGCACTGGAACAACTAGACATGCATAGGAAAAAAATGGACCTGAATCGAACTCTCGTGACTTATCTAAAAATTATTTTTAAATGGATCATGGACTTAAATGTAATACTATCCAATTGTTAGAAAAAAATAGAAGGAAGTCTTAAAGATCCATGAGGCAAAGAGTTCTGGTACCTGACACCAAAAGCACATTCCATAAAAGGAAACATTTGATCAACTGGGTTTAATTGAAAATTAAAAAATCTTTTGCTGCAAGACCCTGCGAAGTGAATAAAAAGCTACAGACTGGGAGAAGAGATTTGGAAACCACATATCTGATAAAGGACTAGTATCTGATTATAGAACATACCAGAAACTCCCAACACTCAACAGGAAAAACCCAAACAATCCAATTAGAAAATGGGCAAAAGACATGAAGAGACCAAAGAGGATCTATGGGTGGCAGATAAGCACCTACAAATATTCAACATCATTAGGCATCAGGAAAATGTAAATTAAAACCTCAATGAGATGGCACTCTTCATCTGTCAGAATGGCTAACATGAGAAATGCTGGTGAGGGGGTGCCTGGGCGGCTCAGTCGGTTAAGCTTCTGACTCTTAATTTCGGCTCAGGTCATGATCTCATGGTTTATGGGTTGGATCTCCGCTTCTGGCTCTGCACTAAGAGCGTGGAGCCTGCTTGGGACTCTCTCTCCCTCTCTCCGCCCCTCCCCTGCTCTCTTTCTCTCTCGAAATAAATAAATGTATTAAAAAAAAAAATGCTGGAGAGGATGCAGAGAAACTGGATCCCTCATACACTGCTGGTGGGAACACAAACTTGTCCAGCCACTCTGGGAAGATCCGGCAGTCTCTTTCAAAGCTAAACACACAACTACATATGACCAAGCAATTACACTCTCGGGCATTTATCCCAGAGAAAGGGAAACTCATGGTCATACAATACTCTACATGAATGCGCGTAACAGCTTTCTTGTAATAACTCAAAACAGAATGACAGATGTCCCCATAGGAGGACGATGAGACAAACCGCAGCACACCCACACCAGGAATTACTGACACACACAAACCTGGATGACTCTCCAGTGAGCTATGTCGTGTGAAACAAACCAGTCCTCGTGGTTATAAACTATATGATTCCGTCTACGTGACATTCTTGAAATGACAAAACTGTGGGACTGGAGAACAGATTACTGGTTGCCAGGGGTCATGGAGGACAGGGGGTGGGAAGGAAGTAGGGGTGGCTGTAAAAGGGACCTTGGTGGTCATGGAGATCCTCTGGGTC